CCCCCCCCCCACACACACACAATCTTCCAAGGCAGCCTGTGAAATGATTTTTGCTTGAAGGGAAGAGGGCTTCCTGGCCTCCCTGCTGCCTCATGAATGTGAAGCAAGGGGCCAGGGCAGTGCAATGCTGGGAGGGAAGGACCGCTGTGCCAAGTGCCCACCCCCTTGAATGCATGCAGTTCACTTGTGGGTCACAGGCACTGGGAGCAGGGGCTTCAGCTGCCCCACAAGTGCGGGTCGGTTGGGGGCGGGGGGTGTTAACAGTAGATGAGAGGTTAAAGGTGTAGAGATGCTGTGTGTGGAGCCTGGTATCTGGAATCTGCCTCCAGGGGTTTCTCGAGGCACGCAGGCACCTTGCAGGATCTGTCCAGGGGAGCAGAGGGGTGCAAGGCGCAGGCTGACTCCAGGACGACGACCTACAGCATCCTCTGCTTCTCCTGGCTGCCTGGGCTCGGAGGGGATTGTGCAAAGCCTGCTTGTATTTTGGCTGTGTGGAAAGTTGCACATCCCCCGCTGCCAGCCCGAGCTGCGGTGCCTTCCTCTGCGAGTCCTGGAGTCACTTCACTCAGCGTTATCACTCAGCTGCCTGTTCCTTGTGGCCCCCAGGAACAGCTCAGCTCGGTGTGCACACAAAGGGCCTGCTCCCTCCTGGGGTGCAGCCAGGCTGGCTAAGCCTGGGGCTGCTCTGCATTGCCTTTGCATCCAGGCAAAGAGCTGAGACTTTTGCTGCAGGATTAGTATAGGGTTCCCTTTGGGAGCCCCACTGAGCTGATAACTCTTGCCAGGGCTGATCACTATCAGAACTAGCTGCTCGAAATCGCTGGGCCCTGTATGTGTCATGTGATCTTTTTTTTTTCTTTTCTTTCTCTCTCTTTCCTTTCTCCCCTTGCAGATACATCTTGAGTTCTTCTTGACTTGCCAGTTTTCAGCCTCCTCATGCCTCCATCTCCATTAGACGACAGGGTAGTGGTGGCACTTTCAAGGCCAGTAAGACCTCAGGATCTCAACCTTTGTTTAGACTCTAGCTACCTTGAATCTGCTGCCTCTGCCAGTGAGAGCCACGCAAGTCTTCTCAGCACAGCTGTCGTGTCCCTAAAGGCAGCTAATCTCACGTATATGCCCTCATCCAACGGCTCTGCTCGCTCCCTGAGTTGTGGATGCAGCAGCGCCAGTTGCTGCACTGTGGCAACGTACGATAAGGACAATCAGGCCCAAACTCAAGCAAGCACCAGCAGCACCACCAACGTAGGAACCTCTGCTCCTTGCCCTGCTAACCAAATGGTCAACAATAATGAGAACATTGGCACTTTGAGTCCATCAGGTGGTGTGGGGAGCCCAGCCTCAGGCACAACCAAGCAACTAGCTAGCATAAAAATAATCTATCCTAATGACTTGGCTAAAAAGATGACCAAATGCACCAAGAGCCACCAACAGAACCAAGGGCCTGTCATCATTGACTGCAGGCCATTCATGGAGTACAATAAAAGTCACATCCAAGGAGCCGTTCATATTAACTGTTCTGACAAGATCAGCAGAAGAAGGCTCCAACAAGGCAAGATCACTGTCTTGGACTTGATCTCCTGTCGGGAAGGCAAGGACTCCTTCAAGAGGATCTTTTCCAAAGAAATCATAGTTTATGATGAGAATACCAATGAGCCAAGCCGAGTAATGCCTTCTCAGCCTCTCCACATCGTCCTGGAGTCGCTCAAGCGTGAAGGCAAGGAACCGCTAGTTCTAAAAGGTACTTCTGTTCTTCACCCGAGAATAATCTGCTCATTTGCTTGTTTGCCATAAACTTCCCATTTCTTTCTTTTCTTTTCTTTTTTTTTTTTTTTTGGCAGAACCACTATGCTTTGTGTTTGTTTAGAAATCCTGTACAAACAGTCACAAGTAGGAAAGGGAATGTTGTAAGAGGGGAGGAAGGCCCCTAATGTATATTATCAATAAAACATGGAACTTGTAGAGCTTGATAGTGGAAGGTAGGCGTCAGTCCTCTTTTTATTTTCTGATTATTGCCCTCTTGCAGTGAAGGGGGATGGGAATGGGAAAGAGAAAGAAACTAGATTTTCTAGATTCTTGATATCTGCTTAGAGTAATAATTTCCTTATGTATTTAGACTATAAATATTCATAGCAAAGGGCAAACATCCAAGAAGACGCAATCCTCTCCCCGGCTACTTTACATCATCAAATTGACCTTTTGGGG